ATATAATACATATTTATATATATTATATATTATTATATATTATATATATATAATATATAATATATTATAATATGAATGTTAAATATGTACATTTATTTATCTATTAATATATACATATATCATTTATATCATTTATTAGTCTAAGCTTAAATAAAGATTTATTAGCTTAAATAAAGATCAGTTATCTTAAATTTAATAAAAATTATGTTTTTATATAATTTATATTTAAAATTATAATTATAAGAAATTAAGATTATGAAATGTTAAAATATTAAATGTAAATATTTCAAATAACTTGAAATATATTTGTGATAAAATATAAAATATAAAATAAAATAATTTTATTTGATTTGTATATGTATATTCAATGATATAATAAATATAGAATGCCAATGAGATTTATGAATGATAGTGCAATAAAATTATATGTATGTTATTAATAATTTTATTAAGAATAATATATCAAATATAAATTAAATATTATTACAAATATTTCTAATACAGATATTAATAAGAATAACTAACTATACAAAAAAAAATTAAAATTATATTTTATATTTATATTATACTATAAATTATATTTACAAATTTATAACATCAATAAATCAAAACAAAATATAGCTTCTTAATAATAATACAATTAAATAATTTATTAAATTAAATATAAATACTTGGTAAAATTCTTATCTTTGAGAATTATATTTAAGAAAAATAAAAACATTGTAATAATTTTTATATATAAATCTGTATTATATAGAATCAATACAAAATAATTTGTAAATAGTTATGAATATGTTATTGAGATTATGCATTATAATTTGTTACTTGATCTTATCATAAAAATGTCATAAAAACTTATCAAAGAATTTGAATCAAGATTTATATACTTATATATTTGTTTCATATATTGACTATACGTCATATATAATGACGTATAGTCATTTTGTGTTACCATGATTCTAGTACGCTAACTGCATATTTATATTTGTCACGCAATCGAGAAGCAAGATTGGTAGAAGCGCGCGTATCAAATTTTAAATAGCCCGGGTGAAACTTTTATTATAGATAGAATATTATGCTTTCTATTTATGCGACACAATTTTCTATTTTTTATTATTTCATTCATTTAATAATTAATTAATTGATTTTATTTTAAATAAATCAAACATACTATTTAATTTTTAATAAATATTGTTTTAAATTCAAAATATTGAAGCTTTATATATTATATATATATTTTTAATATTAATTATTATTATTATTAATTTGGAATATAATTGTTAATTACTTATTATACTTACTTATATTATAATTAGAATTTATTATTAAATACACTCAAAATATTGTGAAAATGTATAGATATATGTATATCGAAAGACATTTTATTAATAACAAAATTGTTATTATGATATATTATTTTATTTATTTACATTTAATGATTAGTTATAATATTTAATATTAACAAAAATCAGAATAAAATCAGAACTGAATTGCGGTCAATTGATTCATGTCGAAACTATTTTAATACACGTGCGTACGCATACTCATAAGAGTATATGCTCGCGATACAACTACGGATGTAATTACATCGCAAACGAGCCGGAAGTGGAAACGGTCTGGCCGGTTTTGCCAGTTAAACGACTACTTTACACGCTCGATTATTCTAACGAATTATCTAAAAAAAATGTTTTTGTTCTTACGAACGATTTATTAATCGAAAAAATTATTATATATTAAAAATTATATATTAAAAATTATATTTTCACAATTAAAATATTTATATATATTTATTATTTAATTATAAATTTTAATATATATAATTTACTATATTAATTTTATAATTTATTAGTATTTAATGTTTTTATAATATTTTTTAGTATCATTTTAAGTAAGTAATAATATCAAATAAATTGAAATCACAAATTTTCTATAAAATTCTGAGTATATAAAATTTAATAATAATAAAAATAATAATAAAATATATATAGATTTATAATAGATTTATAATAAATAATATAAACTCTATAAATTTATATATCATTTAAGAAAAAATTCACTTTAAATTAAATTTAAAATAATACTGATATTTCAAACAAATTGAAATATTAAAAATATGAAATAATTTAATTATAATGAATTAATTGAAGATTTATTTCATCTTATATAATACATGGAAAATATTTATTTTAAATAAAATTATTAATTATTAATATAAAATTATTAAATAATAATTTTTCATGTGTTGCATTAAAAATAGTTATTATACTATATATTATATACATAAAAATACATAAAAATAATATATATTTTTATTATATATATATAAAATGATTATTTTAAATATAAATTAAATTAAATTTGAAAATATAATTACAATAAAAAATAGAATATTTGAAAAATATTTATAATTCAATAAAATATAATGTCAATCATTTTTTAATTTTAGGAAATCTTAGAATAATAAGAATAAAAAAATTTTGAGAAATTATAAAATATACTACATAATTATAAATATTATATTGACTTTATAAAACTTTTGATTTTTTTAGTTTTTAAAAACAAATTATTATAAATGCGGATTAGTACAAATAATATTTTTTTTTCTTTAGATAATATTATTTTTATTTTTAAAGAAATAAATTATGAATCTATATTAAAGTAGTAATAAAAAGATTTTATAAAATGAACAATATATATCATCAAATATAATAAAAAAATCACAATTAAATAAACAATTTATTTTATTTTTTAATAATTAATATTTTTTAATAATGTAATTATGCTTTCTAAATCCAATTATAATAGATTTACAATTAGTATAACAATATATTTCTATAATTCATCTTTAAAATATTCAGAAAATTTTAATTATATTCTTAAAAATCTTCAGTTAAAAATTTTATATTTTCACCAATTTGTTATTTTTTGTTTTCTCTTATTATATCATAATCAAAAACATGAAAATTTCAAATTTTCATTTATATAAAATTACAATTATTATAATATAACTTATCTTTTCCGTTTCTTTAGAAATTACAAAATAAACTAAATTTCACTTTAATAAATATGTATAAAAATTTTTATTATAACTGAAATATAAAACATTCATTAAAATAAACAAAAAAAAAGATAACTATCAATAATTGTCATGATAAAGTGTTTTAGTTATCATAATATTTGACAACTATTTATTTCTATTTTATATTTGTATTACTTCCTTTTTTTTGTAATATATTATGTATATTTTGATATTATATAAATTAAATATTAATGTATCAAATATTTAATATGTTATATTAAATAAAAACTGAATTTATTATTTTTATGATTATTATGATTATTATTTTTTTATATTCTTTATTTTTAAATTACTTTCGGAAATTTTAACCAAGTCATTGATTAATTTTTGTAAAATTTTCTAATTTATATTTCTTATGATGCATCTTTTCAACCCTCAAAGTACTATAATTAAACTCATAGTTGCTGGACCAAGAATGTCACATATCAGTAAATCTAAATTTATTTAATTTTTGTAATCTAATCAGTGTTATCGATAAGTTTCGACGAGATTAAAAATAACTTAACTATGATGAGTGACAACTATGACTATATAAACTTATATAATATGATAGTTTTTTGTATTGCATATTATGATATATGTCTGATTGTGTTTTACAAAATTTCATTCAATAAAAATTGAAAGAGAAAATTTCATCTTTTATTTGATTAACATGTTTTTCGCTACTTATTAATTATTATATTTCTTGTGAATAATACCTTAAATTTGTTTTTTTTTTATATTGAAATGATATTTATTATGTTATATTGAAATAATATTTCATTTCATGATATCTCATATAAAAAATATAAAATGATTTTCAATTAATTATCAAAACTTTGGTCAAAAAAATTTTTATTTTTCACTGTTATAATCCAGATAAAAGATGAAAAATGTGAAAAAATGAAGAATATTTATTTTTTTAGGATTTCTTATAATTTTTTTGATTTCATTAATCATTTTTTTGTAATGTTTAATTAATTGAAATATACACTTAATTTTATAAACAATTCATATAATTAAATTCATCTCATTTCTTTATTAATAGAGTAAAGTATTAAACAATTTTAATAAAGCTATTTTGTGACATTTTTTATTTTTTTCTCTTATTTTTTAAATAAATAAAAACTTTTAAACTTGTATACTTTTTTCCGTATTATCAATTATCATTAAAAGTTATTTCAAACAACAATTAATAATAGTATAATCTCATATAATTTCGTATAATATCTCGTATAATATTTTAACAATTTTTGTTGAATTTTTTTGAATTGTTATCTTTTTGAAAACAATTTTTTTCTAGTAGATCTAATTTAATTACATTTAATTAATTTTTTAAATTTTTCTTAGAATTTTCAAATATATTATTTTATTTAAAATTTCTTTGATAAATATAATATTTTGTATTGTAAATTTTACACCATTTCTAATTTACTATTATATTTTACTATTAGCTATAGATTCTTTGATTATAATATTATATTTTCTTTCATAATTTTATGTAATATTATTATATATTAATTATCCTTTATATTTTATTTTCATCAATAATTATATGTATATAAGAAAGGATATTTGAAATTGATTTTGACATACGTAAGAATAATATTTCAATAATTTTTTCTTATAAATATATAATTGCAATTCAGCATTTTAGAAATATACATAAAAATATTCTTAATATTATATTCAATATATATTTTTTAAGAATTTGAATTAATAACATAAAATCACTAAATCTGGAAATTAAAAAATGAAATTTTTAAAAATATATAATTATGTATAATAATATTAATTATGTATAATAATAATTATGTATAATATATAGATTTATTAAGTTCCTTCTAAAAAGAAGAAATTAAAATTCAAAAATTCATTATTATTCGATTTTATTTTATAATTCATAAACTATGAGATATATAATTTTTAGACAAAAGTTACTTCTTTTAATTAAATTAATAAAAAATTTACTAATTACTAATAATTACTTAAATAATAAGAAAAATGTTATAAAAAAAATTTATATTTCTTAAATTAATTTTTTCATACGAAACCTTAATTAACGATTAAATTAGAACAATATAATTTATGTTTAGTTTTTAATACTACTTTATAAATATTTATATACTTTATATATAAATACTACTTTTATATTCTTGAATTGATTTATCAATAATAAAAGATTCTATTATATTATAAATTGTACAAAAAACATATTTATTAAAAAATAATATGTATAACATAATAAAATATATAATAATTTTTTTTTTGTATTACACAATAGGCAAATGTATCCAATGAAAATAAAGGAAAAAAACTTAAATATAATTTATGCTTATTAAAACTTTTTATTTCAATATAATTATTATATATTTTTATTATTTTTCTCCCAAAAAGTGAAGTAACATAAAAAAAAATATTTAGAACACAAATTTTAATCAGTCACAAAAATGTTATTATTAAGACATCGTATTATAAGAAAATTCATCTAATCTGAAAATTTTAATTTTCATGAAAGTTTTCATGTATTAAAACATAAAGAGTTATAGAGCATGGAGATTTGTCAAATTATTTTAAAAAAATAATTCGTATATAAGTCTTGTTAAAATACGTTTTTGTAACATTGTAATACTTTTTATTCAATTTTACTATGTTTTGTTAAATCCAGCAGTTAGTTGGTCTCGTGCATATAAAATGAATAGTATATTATACATACTATTATACTATTCATAATTTGGATTTGCCATTCTATAAAAATATTCTAAAAATATACATAAAATATAATAATATATAATATAAAATATAATTAAAATAAATAAAATAATAGTAATAATTATAAAGTGTAGAAATTAATTAAATTAAAATTATTTAAAATAATTAGAAGTTACTGATAATTAAAATAATGCAATAATTATCGTAATCATCTTTGATTCTGCAGAAAAATATAAAACTTGCTATAAAAATTTCAATTGAAATTTATTTATTAGATTAAATTTTATTTTGTTAAGTTTAAATTTTTATTAGATGAAGCAAATTTATATATTAATTTTTATATTTTTATTTTTTGAGTTTTGGTTCCTAGTATCGATCTTTTAAATCTGCCATATATTTAAAAATATATTAACATTGTATAAAGTCAATTATATCAATATAAAATCAGAAAAATTCATCTAAATCGTTTAAATAATTCATAAAAATATTAAATAATATAATTGATTATATATATAGGAAAAATTTATTTAAATATTCTTAATATTTATTGAATCATCAATGGAAAATTAGTTTTTCGAATATTTATCATAATTTTGAATATATTCTAGTTCGCTTATGTTATTAAATTTTTGTATAAGTTCATTTTTAATAGTTGTATATTTGTTTTGTATTTCTAAAAATTTTAATGTGAAATTGAATCAAATTAGAATTCTTAGAATTCTCAGATATCCATGTTTTATAAATAAATTTGAAATTTGTTTTGAAAATATATTTAAGTATTCGAATATCTGAATTTAAATCTAAAGAGTAATGTATACATCTCATAGGATGTATCTTCAAGAACACGTAAGATAATTTTCATTGATAATCGATTTATGATTTTATTTGTAGATGTAAACTTTCGTTTCTATTTCGTGTTTACATTTTATTTACTTATTTACACGTTATAAGTCTTTTTATTACGTATAATTATTTGAATAAGTATTTTCAGATTCATATATGAAACTTTTCTTTGAATATGATATTTTTGACTTTAGATTAAAGACATCAAATTTATTAATAAATTGGAATCTCGATTTTTTTGAATTTATAAAACAAAAATTAAAAAAAAAAAGAAATATTCTTTTTTTCTTAAAATTGCATTTTAGAAAAAATGTAAATTCAATATGTAATGTTAATATTCTTATATTCAGTATTTAATTTTCTTTTATTTTAGACATTTATATGTGACAAACAACTAAAAATACCAATAATTTATTTAGAATTTCATCTCTATTCAATGAATTTTATTTGTCCTTTAATTATTGTGATATTATTAATTTCTGATAATTTTTAATAAACTTTTTTTGTCAGAATACAAAATTAGATTTTTTTTCAGTGATGTAGAAGTCAAAATTTAATCTTGATCATGACAATAAATCGGTTTTAAACTTTTAAATACATTTTTATTGCGAATAAAAGTACTATCTTATTATATAAAAAATACTTCTTTGTTCTTTTGTCAATATTCTTATAAATGATATTCATAATTATTCTCATCATTGTAATTTTCAAAATTGTATGTTTATTATATAGTTTTGCAGAAATTTTTGTTAGAAATTTATAGTATCTCAAAATGTCATTTTAAGATAAAGAATTAAATGTGTAATTTAAGTATTCAGATTTATTTTGATATAAATTATTGGATAAAGTATCTGAAGTATTTAGATATTCAATTATAATTATAATTATTTAATTAAATAAATATTTAAATACATAAATTCGAATATTTAAATAATAGTAAGAGTTCTAAATCAATGTTTGTAATATTTTATTATGTTTCTTTTTCCTTTTTCAGTTTGTTTTAAGCCTTTAAATTCCAATGATACGTCGTTATAATCATTTCGAAAATATGTTAAATTTAATCTTTTGATTAATTTTCAAATTTTTAAAAAAAAATTAATTATATAATTATTAATATATATTGATTAACTTTTTTTTATCCTAACATAATTTTAAAATATTTTTTCAATAGAGATTGATCATAAGATTATTTTTATATTTTATTATCATTAAAGAGATTTATATTAAAAAGATTTATATTAAATAAGAAACATATAAATCAAATTGGTATAATGTCGGATAATGTTGCATATAATATATAATAATATAATGATTTAATAATATATATATAAAAAGAATGAATTTTACAATATTTATACACAGATTTAAAGATGAATATATAAAGAATATATTTATAAGACATTTTTATAAGATTAATTCTTGAATCTAAAACAAATACAAAAATATTGATCAAAATCTATTTATTAAATTAAATAGATAAACTGGGAATTTTTATGCAAACAAAATTATGTAACAAAATAGATATTCAATTAATATAAAAAATATATCATAATAATTAAAATTTAATCAAATTTTATCAAACTATGTAATATTTGAAAAATAACAATAATTTTATATAGCTTTAGCTATATATAAATTGTTATTTTTCATTTAAAAAAATTGAACTGAAAAAAAATTGTTCTACATCACATAATATATTATTTCAATATCATATTGAATATTCTTAAACTGTTTTTATAGATATTCATATATAAATATTCAGAATTTTTTTAGTTTTCAATATAATCAAAAGTTTCAGAATATAATTCAATTTAACATATTCATGTATACATATTTCATATATGAATAATTATGTTATTAATTAAACTTATTTTATTATTCAAAACTATCCGGATATTTTCTTATTCTGTATAAAATGAAATTTAAGTTTTGTAAAACAAAAAAAGATTTACAATCATTTACAATCATTTTCTTATTTATAATTGTTAATATTATATATACAAAAATATCGTAATACAATAACATTTATTTTTATGTAAAAATTATTTTTTGTCTATAAATGAAAATATATATAATAATATAATTTCATAAAGACGATATTCAATCGAATGATTTAGTTGTTTGAAAAGCTTTGAGGAAGTATTTAGAAGAAATGAAAGAATTTTAAAAACAATAACGAATATATATTGATCGAATAATAAATTGATCGAAAAATTACCGTATTTAGAAACAATAATATCTAATCATAATGAATATCGACAAAACATGTATTTAATTATAATATTGGTAAGCACGTAATTTAAATAATTTTAAAATAAATAATTTTAAATATAAAACGTTAAAATAAAGATAAATATTATAAAGATTATAAATATTTTATATTTATAATATAATATATATTATATATATTATAAAGATTAATTACATTTACGATAAAAACTTCGTAACTATTTAGATATTTTTGAGCGATAATATATATTGTTTATATAAAAAATATATAAAATATATATTTATATATAATAAAATATATATTTATATATAATAATGGAAAACATGTATTGTATAAAAATTCTTCTTTACTTATAAGCAATTTAAATTCGTATTGGATAAAATGAGAACGCGGCAATAGTATAACGAGAACAGAGTGTTTTCACTTTTCGTTTCGCTTTATCTAACATAAACTTCTATTGCTTGTAACTTAATAAATAAATCTTAATTTTCATATATCAATTTTTATGTTTTAATTTAGCGTCTAGAATCAATCGTCAACAAAAAAAATCAGTTTTCTATATATATTAACTATATTTACAACAAATTGATTCAACTTTTTAAAATCGATATGATTTTCTCACCAATCCAGTATTTCACATGTTATAACTTTGTTAATATAAAGTAAAATATAAAAATTAATTTCAGGTGATGCCTCGGGAGCCCAATCGGGGATATCTGTTGGCCGTGCTGCTACTATTGGTCGGTCTCCGCAAGGCTGGCTGTTCAACATCCGTTCCTCGATATCCGGTCTGCAAACCAGGTTTCGAATTTTGGTCGGTCGAGCATGCCACCTGTTTGCCTTGCACCAGATGCGCTCCTGATTTTACTTTGAGCCCCTGCGCGATTTACAAGGATGCCATTTGTGGTCCACTCTCTGCTCTTGAACTCGATTGGTCTTTTCTTTCGACAAGAAAAAGGCCGGAAATCGGTCAAAGAAGCCTCGAAGCGGTTACTTCGAAGATGTTATGGAGGTTCCCAGATTTGGATCAGCAACAGATTAGACAAGAATCAAAGGATTTTATTGACAGTTCGGAGCAAGATATTCAATGGGAAACAAAGAATGAGGTATAATTGTTGTAAAATTTGTTGCTTGATCTAGGATAGAAAACACTCGTTTTTGTTATCGATGATGTTTCTAATCGAAAAAAAAAAAATTACGATTACGTTTTGTGTTTATGTTAAGGTAGCAGAAATCATTTAAAATTATTATGTATATATATATATATATATATAGATATTATGTAGATTCCATGTATATTTGTATGGTCAAATAATAATTTGATTTTTGATATCAGCAAATAATATTTCCTACTTTATGCAATGGATTCAAAAAATATAAACTATTTTTTAAAACAATAACTTTTTTAAAAATGGATTTAATATATTGTTTTGGGAAATTAAAAAAATTAATTTATTAAATGATACATAAAAAAAAAAAATCATAAAAAAATTGCAATTTGTCGAAAATGAAGAAAATAGTAAAGATTACCTTTTATTTTTTTTTTTATTTAAGCTTTTAATGAAAATTTAAAAAATATATTTTGTAGATCAGATATTTACATGTTAAAAATTTCATCGAAATTGATTAACTATGAACGATAAACAATTAAAAATCGTTGTTTTTCATGATTTTCGATCTAAAATCTAAAGATTTCAATCATAAATCTTTTATCTATAAAAAACAAACGTAATATTTTGACATGCATTCTTTGAAACTATTCAATTTTTTGAAAAAATTTTTAATGTTATCGATTATTTTAAAGATATTTATCAAATAGATCACCATGTTTAAGATTTAATTCTATTCCTTTCGCCAAATTTGAAATAAAAAGATAACGAAATTATATAGGCATTGAACGAGCCTCATCCAAGAAGCACAACTATTTCGAAAGAGAGAATCTTGTGGGACTGGCAAACGGTCGCGTTGATCCTTGCCGTGTGTGCCTGTATTCTCTTTTTTCTGGTCGCAGGATGCTCGGCTTTAGTCTATGCGAGACAGTGGCGTCGGATGAAAAAGAACTTCGAACCCGGTAAGTTTATTAATTGTGTAGATGTCGAAACAGAATCTTAAAATTATTAAATTAATAAAATTAAAACGATTCCATACTATGGGAAATAAGTTAGCTAAAAATAAATTTTTAAAATTAAGAATCCTGTTTTTTGATAAAAGGTATCTTTCTATTTGAAAATTTGTATATAAACATTTTTGAATTATTATTTTGAATTAATATAAGTCTTTTTATAAGTGATTTTATTCATATTTTTAGAAATATCAAAATTTTTTATATAAAATAATTTTGTATTTATTTTTCTAAATTATAAATTTTTGCATGTATATGATTTATTTTTGCTTATGTGTAGAAGTAAAAAAAGAACAATTGAATTGAATTTAACGCATATTATGAAAATAAGTCATGTTTTTAGGTATTATGTATTAGAAATTTTCATAAAAATAAAATTTTTAATATAGCCTTCTAATAATAATTATAAAAAAATAATTCATTGGTAACATTTTTATTATTTATAAACAAAAATCATATTTATAAAATGAAATTATTTTAAATAATTATAACAATAATAAGATATTATTTTGAATAATATTTCAAATAATATCATATTATGCAACTTTTGTTTGTACAATATTATAATTTTTATTTTGACAATTGAATGTTTCATTCTTCAATGAAATAAGAAACTGACAAAGTAATTCATTATTTGAAAGAAATGACATTATCTATTTTTTATCTATCTTTTTATATTAAACAAATAACAATTCAAGAAAAATTATTTCAAGTAATTACTTTTCATTTCAATTTCAAATATAATTTGTTCACAATGTCCGTGATAACAATAATAAAAAGAAACAAGAAGTAGAACAATGATTTATTATTAAGTATTAGTAAAACTTTGTGTTCTGGTATTTTATTTCATTCGATTCCGAATGATTGTTACGCGTTTCCTTGGAGGGGGATAAGAAGTCCTTTAAAATGCAAGACAGATTTTCTTCATTAGAGGGCCGCTCACGACCTCTGCTCACCTTGGCTCGATCTATCACGCCCGGATATGACGTCCTGGTGTCCAATGCTTCTCATTTCTTTCGTAATGCTCCGTTTCGTGTTCTCTTTATATACTCATTTATGAACTCGTGTCATCTGGATTTGTACATCATTTGTAAGACGTGCTATTATTTGAGAGCATTTGATACGATTTGCACAAAGCAGTGGTAGATAATTGTATTTAAAATAAGAATTAAAATTATTTTTTCAATTCTTTTGATTATTGATTAATTTGCAATAATAATTTGTTTCTTTATTAAAGAATTACTATTTGAAATAAATATATGATTTTATGAATATATAACAAGGATTTCAATTATTTTTCAATATGGATTTGAAATAATTAAACGAAATAAATTATAATCATATAAATTAAATAAATTTTTTATTATATACATATAATAAAATATTTGAATTTCATAAAATTATTTTCATAAAATCATAAACCGCAAGCAATTATGTATTAATATTTATATTTCTTAGAATGAGTAAAAATTATATAAGATCATGCAAGAATAGATATAAGGAAAAAAATTTATTTTTTATATAGATATTTTTTTTCTATATTTAAATAATCGATATGAATATAAAAAAATATTATTTTAAATAATTTAATATAAAAGTTTATTATTTCAATCAATTAATTCTTTAATATATTCAAAAAATAAATATTTTTCATCGATGTATTTATTATTAAAGAATTAATTTTAACCATCTTGATTGATCGATAACTTTAACTTTTACTAACAATTAGTTAATGAGTTTTTAACTCATTTTTTTTCTATTATTAATTAATTTTCTTTATAAATTTATGCTTTAGTTTTATTACAAAAGTATTAGTTTTAAAAAATTTGAAATTGCTTTTATTATTTGCATTCGATTAAGATAAGATTTAATAAGAGTTTTGAAATATTTAGTATTTTTTATAATAGATGCTTTAAGATAATGTATCAAACTGAGAATTACTTTTTTTAATTAGTATTACAAAGGAGTTGATATAATAGACATAAGATATAAGAAAAAATAATTTTTTTAATTTTTATATAACTATATCATTTTTCCAACAATAAAAAAAATTAAACGAAACAAAAAGTAGTTAATTTCACATCTACATATATGGTCAGATTTCAAAATTTTTATGAATGGATTCAAACAATTTTAACTTAAAATATATAACATAGTTTTAAAGCATCTTCCTATTTATTTAATATTTTTTTATTTCTAATAAAAGTTTTTTATTTATGTAAATATGTATGAAATAAAAATTTCAGTAATTATTTTTTCCTATATAAAATATACATTTGTTATACATGTTTTCTTAAAATATAAAACATAAATAATGTAATAATAAAAATAATGTATGATTAAAGAAAATTTTTGTTATTTTATAACTAATTGAAAATTTTAATAGTTTCATTCAATTTATGATTTTAACTGTAATACATCTGATAATGAGCATAGAAAATGTCATTAATTTAATAATTGCATATAAAAATTTCTAAGAAGATTATTTAATTTAACAATTAATATATTTGCAGGACAGTTGATTCTAGAAATCAAATAAATATAATATATAAAAATTGATATTGATACAAAAATATCGGTCAAGGATCATAATTAAGTTATAACCAATTGAAGTTTGTATTAGATGAAACAAAACGAAGAGTGAAAATATTCTGTCTTCATTACATTGCTATCGCATTCTATTTCTGTTTCACTTTAATCAATTTAAGTTTACTAACGTAAACTTATAATTTAATAAATGAGTCTTGATTGACATTTTTGTATACCAACTTTTATGTTTGTTTTGAGCTCTAGAAACTTCAATCTTCCAAAGATGGTCCTTCTACGATCCTTTTACGAATATTAATAACCTGTATATTATCATAAGAAATAGTATATGTTTAATAGAAATGATATTCATTTTAAAATTAAAATAACTTTGATAAAAATGAAGTATTTTTTTCAGTTTATGTATGTGATAATAAAGAAATAAGATATAGATTTTATTCCTATATTTTTTCCAAATTCTTTTTTTTAAATCATGAAATTTTTTTATAAAATGAATTCTTATGTTGTGTTATTGAATTCAATCAAAAAAAAAAAAAAGATATGCATTTCCAAAATTATATTATGATTTTCACTTGAATGCAAAATGTTAACTGAAAATGAAATAATTATTCATAGGAATTATCGAATTGAATATTTATCATGTGATTTACATATTGCTTTTTCTGTTAAAGATAAAATTATATATATGTAATAATTTGTATGATATACAATTAATCTAGTGAAATTTATTTGTCTTTATTAATTTTTAATTCTATGTTCACATAAGTTTTTTTTAAAATATAATTTAATTTACAATTTAAATAATAATGCCATTGAATCATTAATTTTTATAATTCTTTCCTATTCGCATATAATTCGTTACATCATTACATGTCATATCATAATGTTTAATTAAAACATTCATTTTTCGATAAAAGTTTTATTATTTTTTTTCTTTTTGATCTATAAAACTTAAAATATTCATAATGATTCGAATACAATTTTTTTTCTTCAAAATTTTGAAAAATTTCTTTTAATCCTAACCTTTAAAACATTTTCATAACGATATTCATTGTTCAACATTGAAATAGTAAAATAATATAAAATGAAACAATTAAACAAAATTATTCTCGATTTATTCGATTGTTTAATCATTTAAAGGCGAAGGGAGAAAAAGAGAAAGAATAATTGAAAGGTCGTTGAAATTTTTCGATTTGAAATAATACCGCGTACTAAATCGCGTGACCCGACTACTTTAAATTCTTTACGGTTCATTCAGCACTGTAAAGCATAAGCAGTCAATGTTTGCAAATTGCCGTCACGATGTTCACAAACGAAAGGTTGAGCGTTTTGATTCAAGATTGATCGTTCCTCGTCATTCGTGTGACTCGGCATGATATACAATAGAAGAGAGTTCGAACGGTGTTACGATCTACAATGAATGTTTGTACGATGTTACTACCCGCATTTGCATAACGAGCGTTACGCAGAACTCATCAACGCCGGAACCCATTCTTTCCCCTTCTACTTTCTCGATACCTCTTTTCCCCAACCTTCCATCAGGAAGTTACTACTTTATGTATTCAGTGATGGAACCGATTTATTCAATTTATGGAACATTTTTCCAAATATTTTTTATTCCCTTTTTTATCTTCTCGTATTTAATTCTTGTGTCTATAATTACTGTGAAATTATAAATTAATTAATTTTTTAAATATTAAAAAAGAAATGAAATAAAGTAGTATTAAATTATTTTTTATTCGTTGAATCTTAAATTTTTATCTATATGTATAAATCATCGTAAATGGTAATTTTTCTTCAAAATATGAAAAATATTTATTGAAAATATTATTTTGATAAAAAGTATTTTTTTATTATTGTTCTTGAAAATAGATAAAAAACAATAGTTAGAGTTAAGAGTTAAGAGTTGATAAAAATAAAAAATACAATAAGTTTTATTTATTATTTATATTATAATATAAATACTTATGAGTGTATTAATTTTCTATGTTATAAAAAATTAAGAATAGTAAATAAAATAAGTATGAAAAAGAATTTTATTTTATATTTTTATTAATATTTCTTTCATTTTTTAACAATTTGTCTAGGAAAAAATATAAAAAAAATAAATTAATAAAGAAAATACTTTATTATTATAAAATAAATAAATATTTATTTTTTTGCAACATTTATATTTATTCCTAAATATTTTAATAAATAATAAATAATCATATATAATATAATATATAATAATTACATTATTTATATTATATAAAAATTATTTTATTTTAATTAATTCTTAATAGATTAAAAGACAAGAAATTAATTAAAATTAAAATTATATATTTAAAAAACTAAAATAAACAAAATATACAGCGTAGACGGTGAATAATAATTGAATTTTGAAAATTATAATTATTATA